TTCTTTTTCTTTTAAGAAAAAACTCTTACATTATATTCCAAGACAAGAGTTTGAGGCCGGGGACCTCACATATCGACCCGGAGTTATCCCGACAGCATCAGCCGATTTAGCTTACTGTCACCAACGTGAGCAGGACAGTCTAGTCTGAAGCCACCACCAGAAGGGAGATCTGATAAGAATTGGTTGTACAAAGCTCTATCCTAACACACAGAAAACCTCAGGTGGCGCTCCTGATTATCGCAACCTATTATCGTCCACTACTGATATGCTTTTTTTTTTTTTTTTTTTTTTGAAAGTCATTCCTTATATTATAAAATGATTGAGGCCGGGGACCTCACAATTCAACCCGGGAATACTGAAAGCATTACTTAGCTTAGCTTATCTCAAATGAGTCTGCGATTGCAGCTCAAAGAATTAACTCCAATCTATCTTTCACTGTCTCAAATGCAACTCTCTCTCAATGTAAAAAGCTTCTAATCTCAGAGAATAAGGAAAAGAAGAAAACCCAGGAATGCACAGGCCTAGGGATGGCCTGACCCCAGCCTACATCGACCGTGAGGAACCTCAAAGGTAGTTCCTATAGACTAGCAACTTCTCCTAGCATCTGCCTACTGCGGCAAAAAAAACAGTTACCGAGAGTCTAGTTTACTCCGGCAGGACTTTGTTCCCTCAAATATCTTTCTTTCAGTCTCCGGCCTTCTCTCACTACTATATTATCAGTTGTCCAAGATGATCAGGTTACCGCAACGGTTTTCCAGGAGTGCGGAAAGACCAGTTTGCCAGTAATAGTTGGGATGGCCCAACAGTATGGCACACTCCACTTCTTCTTGAACCTGCGTAGCTTAAGATTAGGAGGGGAGCCAGTATTATCTATTTTACGCCAATCTGCTAAAATTATTTCCTTGATCCCCTGGAGCATAAGAAACTGAAGTTGTTGCTCCGGCGAGAAAGTTGAGCTAAACCGAAGGGAATTCCTAGCCCGCCAGATAATCCACAGGCCTACGGCTCTGCAAACCCAGGCCGGGTAAGGAGCAGAACATTTACTATGTCTGTTTCCTTGAATTAAGGCCTCCTTATTCCAGATAGAACTGTCTTCCTCTCCCTGGTATGCCTGACTCCACACCTTTCCCCACCACTCCCAGAATCTCTGGGCAGTTGGGCAATGCCACCATATGTGGCAGATATCCTCTATGACTTGAGGGGAGCAGGCAGTGCAAAAAAAGGAGACTTGCATACCTTTAGTTACACACCACTTACCAAAGGGTATGCAGAGCATATGGATAAGCCACAGAAGTCCTGCATGTTTGATTGTTGGAAGAGATCTGATGGTCTTACCGAAGTTGTAGCAGAGGTCAATCGGGAGCGTCTCCATGTTTTCTGATGCTGAAAAGTTATCCCAGGAAGCTTTGAATGTACATTGAAGGCTGCTCGCTCTGGATTGAATTCTGTAGCCTAGAGATACCGAGTAGTCGATGACAAAGGGTGTACCTTAGCTTGCAGTAGCGGAATGCCTTTCAGACACAAAATAGGTATCGTTTTCTGTGATCCGTTGGTTATCCGTTGCTCCATTTTAACCAAAACCTGTGTGTACTCGTCTCTTGACACTTCAGAGTTTTGATTGTCTTCTTTTGTCAGATTGCCTCTGTGATCTATTCTCCAAAAAACAGTTTTACATTTACCCTCAGGGAGGATCTCAATGACTTGGTGAATACCCCCTTCTCCTTCTTTTGCTGTCAGCCATGTGCCTGTGGACAGCCCGTTTGTGAGCAACAGTTCCTTCCAGGAATGTGGAATCGCCTGGATGAGTTGTGCTAGGAGTCTCTCTACATTGTGTAAGTTCCCAAGTTTCTGCCTCATTTCTAAAGCAGACCTGCAGTTGTTAGTATCTACATTCCACAGGTGTCTAATCTGGTATATACCATTACTTACCCAAACTCTCCCGAAGGACTTAGCAGAAATGCAAAAGGTATTACTTGATGTATCCCTAATTGCCGAGTTGTCAAACAGATTTTGACAGAGGACCTCCTCTGATGTCAAAGGCCAAGTTAGAACTGATGGACAGAGAGTGTTCCATGCTCTTAGTATAGGGGCCCAGATAGGTGATTTGACTTTAGTTCTAGTCTGAGTTGCACAGGCCTAAGCCGGCCTGGACTCGGCTTAATACAGCCACAGGGAACCGTTACAGGCTCCTAAACTAAGTCCTGGGCACTCTCCTACCCTCCCTACCCTAGGTAGCCTACTGCGGCTGTCTACAGAAACCGAGTGCCCTGGTTCACTCAGGACCAAGAGGGGAAGAACGAGAAGAAGGAGGAAAGATAAGGAAGAGGAAGAAGACAAGGAAAAGGGAAGGAGAAGAGAGACGAAGGAGTGGATTAAGAATTAAGAAGATAGCCAGGGTGAGATGACCAAGTCCCCCTCCAAAGTAACCGCTGCTAATTGATTGTCCCGTGCCCATGTAACCAGAAACCAATGCCTACCTCGTGGTGTGCGACCCCTGCTGGCCTTCCTGGTCCAATCAACCCGTATCATAGTTCTGATCCATGCTTTGACCTTTGCCAGGAGGGCGATGTCACTTGTCCATTGCTGGCGGAAGAGAATATTGTTGCGATCCTCTCATATGACCCATATTAAAATTGATCTGATGGCCTGAGCCACATAGCCTCTGCCCTTACCCTTGAACCAGGTCGCCGGAATGCGCCCATGAAGAGCCTAGGTCTCATCCCATGGCAAGATTGGGCCAACGAATCGGAGCCAGTGGTGTTCCCACCACCGCCACAACCTCTTTGAAGCTGGACATGTCCAAAACAGGTGCTGGAGGGTTTCCTCCTCCCTACCCCCACACCTCTTACATTTTGTGTCAATATTCATCCCTCTTTCAAAAAGCCAAACTGAGGTAGGTACCACAACATGAGAAAGGAGCCATAGGACGCCCGCGAGCTTCTGAGAGGGCAGGACAGTCAACTGAGCCCAGAGGGTCTTCATATCCTGTCGCGTAATTGGCTGGACATCGCCTCTCAACCTGTTCAGTAGATCAGCCACCGTCGTTGGTAGGTTAATTCCCTTATCTTGCAACTATCTACCCAAGGCGGAAGTATAATGTGACAGAAATATCCCTCGCCCTGGCTGCGGTTCCCAGGACCAACCCAGTGGGTCAATTCTGAACTCTCTTAGAGGGAGTCCCTGATGAAGCAGCGCATGTGTAGTAATGCCAAGCTTCGTTTCAGTGTGAACACGGATTTGCTGCAAAGGTTGTTGAAGTTCTACCACGATCTCCCCTTGGAGCTGGAGCATAGCTGCTTGAGTAGGATCCGCACTTATACTCCACTTCTGTGCCCGCCAACTGTTAGCGTCTTGGTACTCCATTATTTGTATTACACTACCCCTCTCCAGCTCCGCGGGTCCTGGTACCATTGACCCACCATGGATTCCGAGACTGCAGTAGATCACGCCAATGTGTCGGGATTCCATCATAGAGTTGTTGCCTCCTCCCAGCAACCAACGGGAGACGGCCCAGTTTCTGCATTAGCCGAGACTTCGAGATTCAGTCATCGTGCTCTTCGTCCCAAAGATCCCGTACCCTCACCACCCCACGTTCCACCCATCTTCTTTCGAATTTGCCAGGCGCAGACGTTGCCTCAAAGGGGAGACCTTGGCTATCTCGAATGTCCTTATTATCAAAAAGAATTTGGCCAAGCACCTCCTCCTTCGTTACTGGTTCCGTTCTCAGGGGCGGGAGCAGCTTTGCCCAGGCTGTCCATAGTCCCTTGGCCACTGGCGAACGCATCTGTCTGCGGGCAAATGAGTGCATAGAAACACAGCACCAGACGTCTTCCTTTCGTGCGAGGGAAAGTTCCTGCTGCAACAGGTATTCCAACACCATCAACCAGCTTCTGCATTCAACTTGAGTGGTAGCCTTGGCAAGCCATTTGGTGAGCAGCGCCAGATTCTGCTTCTGTGAGTCTATAATCCCAAGACCACCCTCCTCCTTGTCTATCGTTATCTTAGCCCAGGAGCATTTGGAGACGTACCCCTGACCCCCTTGTGCTGAAGGCTTCCACAGATAGCGCGCAGCATCAGAAGTAAGCTGCTTGATGGTTGGTGTGGAAATTAGACAGACAGCGGCCACAAACCATAACTGCGAGAAGACAACGGAGTTAATGAGTAGTGCCCTCCCCAAGAGAGACAGGCCAACTGCCACACGACATTTTTGGATTGCCGCTTGGGTCTTGGCTTGCAATATCGCGTGTTGCTTTGGCCGTGCGTCAGAAAGGGACACCTGCACCCCCAAGTATCGCTCCGACAAGTCCGGGGGAATTCTCTTCATGCCCCAGTCCTGGCCCGACATGTTGTAGTCACTGGGGAGAAAATAAACTGATTTGCTCCAGTTGACCTGAGCCTCCGATAAGGTAGCATATGCGTCCAGCTGGAACTTCGCCTCGTGCATTGACTCCGGTGTCGCCTCCATCACCAGAAGCAAGTCATCCGCTATGGCACCCATCAAAAGAGTGTCCCCACCACCAAGGGTAAGGCCCCGTAAGCGCTGCGATGCTCTGAAAGAGTTCAGTGGCACTTCCATTTGTATAGCAAATAAAAGGGACGCCAAAGGGCAGCCTTGCAAAAGAGAGCGCGTCAGCGAGAAGGCGGGAGAGAGAAAACCATTGACGTTAACTGTGGCGGTTGAATCGGCATAGAGCTCCCAAACCCACGTACGATAGTTGGGGCCAAAGCCCATGTGTTCCAGGGTCGCTAAAACAAAGGACCAGTTGACCCGATCGTACGCTTTTTCGAGGTCCAGCATTGCCGCCAAAACTTGCCTCCTCTCCCGCTGAATGATCTCCAAGGCACCCATGGCCATAAGGATGTTCTCTGCGATGGAGCGCCCTTGTACAAAAGCCCCCTGGTCAGTATGAACCAAACTAGGTAGGTGAGGAGCAAGCCTTCGCGCCAGCAATTTCGCCAAGATTTTATAGGACACATTTAGCCTTGAGATGGGGCGCCAGTTCCGTATGTTGGATTTATCACCCTTCTTATAAATCAGGGTGATAATCCCAGCTTCATGTCTGCAGTCAAGGCCCCCCCTTCCAAAACATGATTGTAGAGCGAGAGCAAGTCAGGCCCAACATGATCCCAAATCGCCTCGTAGAACTCTACAGGCAGGCCGTCTGATCCCGGGCTCTTGCCGTGAGCCATACTCTTGATAGCCTCCCATAGCTCCTCAAGTGTTATAGGCCGGTCAAGTAGAAGCCTTGCCTCCACCGTCAACTTCGCTTGCGTATGTCGCCACATGTCATGCTCGACCCTCAGCTGCTGTAAATTACGGCCCGGATGTCTCCTGCTGGTAAGGATATCTCTAGCATACTCGCCCATCGCAGTGGAATCCTTGGCAGTTGGGGCCTCAACAAAGAAGGGGTGCTGAAACTCCCTTATCAATGCATGCGCTCGGGGTGGGCACAATCGTTGGCAGGTCTCCTTGGATAATCGATCCCCTGTGATCATTCTTTTTTCTTGAGCTTTCTTGGCCCACAGAATCTGCTGCTCTACCTGAAGATCCTCTAGCTTTTGCAGCCACCGGTCTCTGCGGTGCTGCCAATAAAGTTCAGCCAACGGCCTTTCTTCGAGCTCCGCCTCAGCCTCTGCCACCATGTTACGACACTCCTCTTGCTGTCTTCTATGCCTTGCCTGCATCCTTGAGAAAGCATCAAGTGCCCTCGTAACTATCCGGAAGCCCATTTGTAGCCAATCCCCTTTCGAGTCGAATGTGTGCCTTGTTTGTTGCCAGTCCCTCCAATGTGCAGCAATCCAATCTGTAACCCCTGGTAGGTTTAGCAGGTCCGTATTCAAAAGGAAGGTCCCTGGCCCACGGGCCAAGTTAGCCGCCAGCTGAAAGGATGCGGTGAGAGGCCGATGGTCCGACAGCGATTCAATAGAGCAAGAGATCGTTGTCAAGGCTTCCCAAGGCGCCCCCTTGACCAACATAAGGTCAAGCCTTCGCTTAGGTGCTGGTCTATCACCGGTTCGCTGCGAAGAAAACCATGTGAAGTTAGGCTCCATCGGGTGTGTAGTTTGGAAGGCGTCTGATAAACCTCGCATCGTAATAAAGCTGCTGAGCATTGCCGCATCAGTTTTCCTGGGGGCCACTTCAGGTGAATCTAGACCTGGGACCAGCGTGACGTTAAAGTCACCAGCAAATACCATGTTATCGTCGTCTGGGACAATTGCGGGAAGTTCCTGGAGAAAAGATCTCCGCTCCACAGGATCAGCTGGTGCGTATATCGTCATCAATGTCCACTTTTCCATTCCAATCTGGATTCCATGCCCAGCGGCCCCAAATATCCCATTCCTGCTCCAAAATCTCCGCCTCGAGGTTCTTGTGCAGCAAGATTGCACAGCCTCCTCTGGTGTCTGTTGCAGGGGCCCAGACCTGCGGTCCCTTCCACCAATTTTGGATTTGCGGCAGCTTGTCCTCATCAAGCTTCGTCTCCTGTAGAAAAAGTATCTGCAGCTTCAAGTCGTGCAACCAAGTCTTGATGCGAGGCTTCTTATGGCGCCCTGAGGAGTCGCCCAAACCACGCAAGTTCCAGGTTCCAATTTTAAGACAGTTCATGAGAAGGGACCTGTGCGGTGGTTAATTGGATCCGCTGCTCCTCTTCTGCAGGTTGCCTTGGCTGCCTCGGTCTCCTAGCTGCGTCCACCTCAGGAGGGGCACCCCATGGTGCCAGCAAGAGGCTTCGGAAGCCTGCAGAGTATGGTTGCTTATCTGTAGCCAGAGAATTGCAGAACTCCGCCACCCATTTGGCATTAACATCCTCAGTGAGATAAGTATCCTGTAGCTCGTCTGATGTTGAGGAGGCAAGGCAGGTAGACGGCAGCCACACTACACCCTGAGTTGCCAGCAATGCTGCAGTCTCCAGGCTCATTTTAACATCAAGCATACCAACCGAAAAATGTCCCCCTATTGCTGCTGCCACCGTTTTGCGTCCAATTCTGATGCCTGGGATGAGGCGAAAAGGAAATCGATCCGCAATAAAAGTTGCAGCCACCGCTTTGATTGCCTCCTTAGTAGTTGGTGATGTGCTAACAGCAACTGTTGGGATAGCAAGGTGTCCCTTGTCGGTACGCCTAGCCATGAATTTAGAGCCCTGGGGGGTGATCATGAAGCACAGCAGAACCAGCTGATGCCTAATTACAGCCGACACCGCTCTGCTGCTCGACGGCTGGCCTGCCCGTGTTACTTCGTGCATCCCTGGAGGAGGCGGCAGAGGACCCTGAGTAAAAAAGCCCTGCGTCACAGCGTTACTAGCTGAGGTTGCAACGACAAAAAATTCAACCTCCCCTTCCTCCTCTTCTCGCATTATCTGCCCGACCCCATCCTCGTTCCTACGCCTCTGCTTCATTGGCGTCCGCAACATGAGCCTCTGATCACGCATGGTCGCATCTGCTGCTGGGTAAGTCGCTGGATTGTGTGAGGTACTTTGTGGCCGCTCTTCATCCGGAACCTGTACTGCCGCATGCACGACAGGCTGCGAGAAATCTTGCCCCGCCGTGATGGGAATCGAATGGGGGAGGAATGCGGGATTAGAATATGTATGAAAAGCTTGCAAGGAGGGGGGAAGGTGGGCTGACTGCATATCTACATACACTGCACTGGTACTCGTGGCGGGGTGAGTGCTGGAGGGTGGTTGTGTTACTGCAGGGACTGGCGGTGGCAGATGTGCATGGTTGGGGGCTGGAAGAGCTTTGTGCAGGGGTGATCCGATTTGGAGTGGAGGTGGGGGGGGCTGATGTGTAAGAGACACAAGAGGTGGGGATCGGATGAAGGCTCAGAAGCCAGCTTGGGTCTGCGAAGTGCAGGTGTTGCTAGGAGCCAAGGAGGGCTGCGATATGGACGGGTTTGGGCCCAACTGAGAGCCCAAGAGCCGCTGCTGTGTCGTGTTACATCCCCCTGCCTGCGTGAGGGGAAGCGCTGGGGGAGGGAGGTATGGGACAATGGAGCCCGTTGCGGCAGGTCGAAGGGGCTGGAGTCCCAGTACATTACTGGGCCCCGCCGCATCTGCATGAGGTGGTGGACGCGGGAACGTGTTCTGACGAGCCTGAGGCTGGGAGGCATATTGTGGACGAGGGGCTTGCGAACAATGCTGGACCGCAAGATTCGATGGAGGAGGGGGTCGCAGGAGGCTTGGATGACCTTGCCCCTGATGGGCATGCGGGATCTGATTGCGCAGAGGGGGGGGGGGGGGGGGGG